GCGGGACTCGATCCCAGGACCCTGGGATCATGACCTGAGCCGAAGGCAGATGCTTAACCATCTGAGCCACCCAGGCGCCCTGAGCCTCCTACTCTTGATTTCAGCTCAGGGTTGTGAGATCCAGCCCTGGTCCGGCTCCATGCTCAGCACAGAGCCTCCTTAAGATTCTCTCTCTCCCTTTGCCCCTCCATCCCAGGTTGTGGGTGCACACGTGCACGCGTGCTCTCGCTCTCTCTCTCTCTCTCAAAAATAAATAAGCTTAAAAAAATAAACTTTTAACACAGATTTGAGGTGGAATCATCAAAAAAATAATATTCAAGATTAAAGCCTGATGATTAATTCAAAATTAATTCCAATGATGATGGACTCTGTATGGCCCATGGAGTCCTCTGCTTACCTGATAATGAAAAAGATGTGACTTGAATAATAATGTTTATTGTGTGAGGGTTTTAATTATTCATATGCAAAATGAAATGTTTAATTACTGTAAAATTTTTTTACAGCTTTATTGAGATATAATTAATACCTTTTAAACATAGTCATATTTTGGTGTTATGTTTTAAGGTAGTTACTATTTAAATACTGTATTGAGCCAGTAGCTTAGACCACTTTAGCTTTTTTTTTTTTTAAGATTTTATTTATTTGTCAGAGAGAGAGAACAAGCAGGGGGAGCGGCGTGCAGAGGGAGAAGTAGGCTCCCCACTGAGCAGGGAGCCCGATGTGGGGCTCGATCCCAGAACCCTGGGATCATGACCTGAGCTGAAGGCAGACACTTAACTGACTGAGCCACCCAGGCACCCCCAGAAGAAGCTGTATTATTTGGTTTCTAATTTTTTTACTTAACTTTTCTCATTTCTTTATAATCTCTTTATATCTTAGGTTTTATCTTTGTCTCATTACATCAAATTGTCTCCTAAAGACCCTATTTAAAACAACATAAGAAAGGATTGTCTATATGTTTGAGAAGATAATAATACTGTTTGTTGCAGATAGCGGTATGGCTGAGGTTCATAAGTACACATTTCCTCACCTTGCCATCTTCATTTCTCTGACTCAGACTGTCCATAGGAGATCTCCTTACAGATTTACACAGTGTTTAGAGATCTTCCTGAAAGTTTTATTTTCTCAAGATAGTTGACAGTGGTTATCCTATAGTAAACTATACAAATCAGAAGCGTGTAGGCCTTATTTTTAAATAGTAAAATACTTGTTCTATCCATTATATATCCTAAAACAAAATTAAGGAAGTTGTCAAAATACATTTCCAGCAGCATTACTTTTAAAAGTTTTATAGAGTCACAATAGGCAAGATTCTTTTTAAAATGCAAGTAATTCTTATAATAGGAAGTTAATTAAAGGCTTTTATACTTTTGCCACCTGTTTGTGATTAAGCATACTTAATTCCCAACTTTGACACACACACACACACACACGTGAGAGACCAAAACATTCAGTCCCATTCTTCTATCAGAAGGTTGGTCAAAAATCAGATGTTGGGGGATACCTGGGTGGCTCAGTCAGTTAAGCATCTGCCTTTGGCTCAGGTCATGATCCCAGGGTCCTGGGATCGAGTCCTGCATTGGGTTCCTTGCTCAGTAGGGGCCTGCTTCTCCCTCTGCCTGCCGCTCCCCCTGCTTATGTTCTCTCTCTCTGACAAATAAATAAATAAAATCTTAAAAAAAAAAAATCAGAAGTTGGTTATACCTCAGTAAAGTTAGGGGGGAAAATCAGAAATTGGGAAGGAAGGCCCTTAGTAGTTTTATAGTCAGTTCAAATTTTTTATGGAATGAAGGAGAGTGTAAATAAATATTTTCTTTATGACTGGAAGAATACATTTTCTCTAATGATGAACTTCTTTTTTTGCTTATCCTTGGAGAATTTATGGTCACCAGGGGCAGAATTTGACCATTCTGTGTATTGGTCCAAGTAAATGGTACCTCATTTACTTAAAAAGACATTGAGTATAAAAGTAAATGGGTTTGCTTTAGTTCATTTTTCATGTTTTATTTGATGTTATGTATTTGATTATGAAAACAAAACATTACTTACGGAAGTCATATTTTGAAATCCCAACTATCTTAATTAACATAATTGTTTCTTTTCTCAATGATGTATAGATGAAACCAGCCTGTATAAAAGCCCTCACCCGTATATTTAAAATATCTGATCAAGATAATGATGGCACTCTCAATGATGCTGAACTCAACTTCTTTCAGGTAGCCTTCTTCTTCTTTAGGCATTTCTGTATCTTGGGGGGTTTCTTGTTGAGAAAAGCTATAAAAAATATTATTAGCTTAAACAATGTTATGTTGATAAGCATGTCTTTTTCATGTAAAACGGTCTTTCCCATCAAGCTATTTAAGTCTTCACCTGGGCTATAAAACTCTCCTATGCACAGGAATTGAGGGGACTCTTTGTGCCATTTCATGGTATACAGTGGGTGTATTAAAGATGACTTGAAGTTTGAACTCTGAATTATTTTTTCTCTCTTGGTTTTGTATAACATGGGTACACAAAGAGCTCTGTGTTTTAGAAATGCTATGGAGAGAGTAGGGAAAATTTCTTTCCTTCTACATATGACATGTTTTATTTATTTATCTTTTTATTTTTTTATTTATTTATTTAAAGATTTTATTTATTCATTCAAGACACAGAGATAGAGAGAGAGAGAGAGCACGAGTAGGGGGAGAGGGAGAGGGAGAAGCAGGCTCCCCGCTGAGCCAGGAGCCGGATGTGGGGCTTGATCCCAGGACCCTGGGATCATGACCCGAGCCGAAGGCAGATGCTCAACCATCTGAGCCACCCAGGTGCCCCGTAAGACATGTTTTAAATAAATAATGCAAAGCAGAGATGATCCTATTCTAATTTAGAATTTGGTGCTTTTTTTTGGTTACAACTGATTTAATGTTGTTTTGTAGAATAATGTTTTATATTATTTGTGGTTTTAATACTGTTTTGTTTTTAAATTGATTTTTACATTTTTTGCTAGAGAATTTGTTTCAATACTCCATTAGCTCCCCAAGCTCTGGAAGATGTTAAGAATGTAGTCCGGAAACATATAAGTGATGGTGTGGCTGACAGTGGATTGACATTGAAAGGTGAGTGAATGGTGTTTTCCCCCCCTTTTAAACTTGATATTTTCAGACTTTGGCAGAAGGTGAAGGTCCTAGCATTATATATACTTTAAGGAAATGTTAGTATTTACTGATAGGCCTAAGATCTAACTTGGTTATTAAGAGTTAGGAGAGACAGGCCATTGATGGAGATAATTATCCTTACTGTCAGCAAAGATTAGAGGTGGGGAAATTGCTCAGATCTTAGGAATGCAGAGGTCCATCTGAGGGGCTGAGATTTCTGGGACAAACAAATTTTTTTTTTCTTTTTTTTTAAAAGATTTTATTTATTTGAGAGAGAGAGAATGAGAGAGAGCACATGAGAGGGGGGAGGGTCAGAGGGAGAAGCAGACTCCCTGCCGAGCAGGGAGCCCGATGCGGGACTCGATCCAGGGACTCCAGGATCATGACCTGAGTCGAAGGCAGTCGCTTAACCAACTGAGCCACCCAGGCGCCCGGGACAAACAAATTTATCTTAATATTCTTACTACTTAATAGCATCCTCTAAATATAAATTATTTTCAGGGCATTTTGTCTACCAGTCACATTTACCAAGTACAAAATGTTCCTTGTAGAACGTATTATAGAGCCACAGTGAAATAAAAGATGAAATTGAAAACCACTGTTTTCCATTATAGAAATAAGTTCAAAAATCTATAAAATGACTTCATTTATTTTTATCATATAACTTTGTGAATGTCAGTGTATTCCTTGGGATGCATTTTTGGCCCTTTTATCCATTGCCATCTCTTGCTGACTTGGGTGTATATGTGAAATGATTCTGAAGTCAGCTCTGTTTCATTGACAGATTTATGAACTTTGTTTTGATTTGACCTTCGGTATGCAAAGCTGTATGCATATGTACATGATTCTAACTCTTGCCATTATGTGTTACATGCTTTTCTTCCTTGTGACTTTGTACCCTTATTCACATCACCTGTACTTACTGATTTTATTTCAGGTTTTCTTTTTTTACACACACTTTTTATCCAGAGAGGGAGACACGAAACTACCTGGACTGTGCTTCGACGATTTGGTTATGATGATGATCTGGATTTGACACCCGAGTATTTATTCCCCTTGTATGTACCTTTAGCTTTCTAATTGATTTTGCTTGCCAAGTATTTTTAAGCTTTATTTGGCGCACAGTTTAGGTAGGCTTTGAGCTACTCAGAACTAATTTAGATTTATAGAGAGGTTTATAGCAGGATTTGTCAACCTCAGCACTACTGATATTTTGGACCAGACAGTTCTTTGTTGTAGAGTCTGCCCTGTGTATTATAGGGTGTTTAGCACATCCTTTTTTTTTTTTTTTTAAGATTTTATTTATTTATTTGACAGAGACATAGCGAGAGAGGGAACACAAGCAGGGGGAGTGGGAGAGGGAGAAGCAGGCTTCCCATCAATCAGGGAGCCTGATGCGGGGCTTGATCCCAGAACCCCGGGACCATGACCTGAGCTGAAGGCAGACGCTTAACGACTGAGCCACCCAGGCACCCCTGTTCAGCACATCCTTAGTTGCCAGTAACACCTCCTCCCCCAGCTCTGACAACTGAACACATCCAGTGTCTCTAGAAATTGCCAAATGTTCCTTCAGGAGCAAAATCATCCCCAGTTGAGAGCCCCTGATTTATAGCGTGGCATAAATTTTTCCTCTTCTTCTCATGGGGAATAAGAGTATCTTTTTTTATTCATCTTACTGAGGAAGGAGATAACAGATGCTGGACAAACTTGCATTTGGAATCAAGACGTCAGTATATTGGTTCACTTCTTTCTATTAGTCCTTCTCCTCTGTAAGTTCTGTGGCCTTTTCTTAGCTCAGGATGAAATAAGTTAATTTTTCTTAAATAGCCTGTTTAGGAATTTTGTGGTTCTGTTTGTGGTTATTTTCCTCCGATAATGCTATATGTAAGTTGTGTTTGTTTAAAACGGACCCAGTTTCACCTGAAACAGGAGACTGCCTTGCTGTGTGTTGCCTCTCCTGTACCCCAGGGGGGTAGGCTTTTCAGGGAAGTGATGTCCCAATATCTGGCCTTTTGGGTCTTCAGCCTTTCTTCTTTACTTTTTCCTTGGCACATTGTCTTCATATTGTCCCTTTTCATTTTAGCATAGCACCCCCTAGCTATCTATGTAAGGGTTCAGAAAGACTCTTGTTTTTTCATTTATCATCATCATGGGGAAAGCAGAGTTCTTTCTGGTCCATTAATCAGGTCTAAGTTGAAATTTCTCTTGTTGAAGTGACTAAATCTTGGCTCAAGTAATTTCCCAGATTTTTCAATAAAAAACATATTGAATGAATGAATTTGTCCCAGGACCTTTTGTCACATTTTCTTTTCTGTACCATTAACATGGGTAGGTAAATTCTACAGGAAGTTACTTATTACTTTCTTAAGCGTGACAGTAAGAAAACTCCATTGCTTAGGGCTTTGTGGCTCACACTAATAGCTCTCAGTTTCTTTATGCTGTTTGCCTTTCATTTTCTGTAGAATAGCCTCATAGAGCTACCACTTGAATCTTTCTAGCCTTGTTATTAAACTGTCTCTTTCTGTCCTTCATACTGCTACTGGATTAGTAGATACATAAATACATATTTGCCCATGTCACTTCCCTTAGAGCCAGGATAAAGCTCAGTCTTCTTAACATGTTATACAAGGTCATTCATGATCTGCTCTGCTCATGCTTCACTCTCTGTCTTCATTCTAGAAGTAAATACTGCTACTAAACTATTTATAGTCTACCAATCATCAGTTGTTTCAGGCTCTAGGCTTTTGCCCAGGGATTCTCACTTTTCCCCCCTCTCTCTCCCAACCTAATTATTGCTTCTTATCCTTCAAGTCTCTCCAAGTGAGGTGATAGTGTCTCTCAGTAGGACTGACACCTTCCCACCCCCATGCCAGAGATGTCCTCTTTCGTGTGGGCCACCATAGCATCCTTGGTTTACCCATATCCACCACTTGCCTCATTCTTTTGCAATAGTGAGGTTGTCTGTCTGTGGTCTGTCTCCTACTTGACTGTGGTTCCCTAAGGGTAGGGAGCCTGTCTTGTTTTTGTGTGCCTAGTATCTAGCTAGCTCAGTGCCTTTGATTGAACTGAACTTAGGATGGGTCACAGGTCAAATCAGGCAGAAATAACCTCTTCACATCTTTTCAGCTCATTAAATGTTGACATAAGCCATAATTATGACTTACAGTTTGTTTATAAGAAGAACAAACCCATTACAGTGTAATGGTGTTACTTGTAAAATTTTTATTTCAACCTGCCCTTCAGAAATTTAAGAAAACTTTGTGTGTCAGCTCAGAATGAGTGTTATTACAGCTCTTGTGAGGATTGCTATTCCACTCCATTGACTTGGAATGGCTTCAGCAAAGGTATTTTATAAATGGTATCATCCCACAAAAAAAGACTTGTTGCAGTTTTATATCTGTTTCTTAAATTTTAATATTTGGTTAATGATTTATTTTACTCTTAAATTTTTTTTTTGTCAATAGGCTAAAAATACCTCCTGATTGCACTACTGAATTAAATCATCATGCATATTTGTTTCTCCAGAGCACCTTTGACAAGCATGATTTGGTAAGCTTTCAGCTGTAGTTTTCCATGATTGTAATAAAATATTTTTCTGTAAATGATTTAACTCTGTTCCCTTAGCTAGGGGATGCTCATGTCACATAGCCAAAAATTGCTCAAACTTCTTAAGTTAGACTAGCAAAAATTCTGTTTATTTACTTTTATTATTTTCTCAAGATGAAAAAGTCTAGTTTCTGATAGATTCTTATATAGGTTTTCTTATATACATGAGAAGAATTTTCTTGAGAAAATGTAAAATTTCATTTGTTTTTAGAAGCATAGCTTTACTAGACTGGGGGCTCTGTGTTTGGGAATTATTCTCTTAGGTATCTAAACATTTTGTATACTTCTTTGTGTATCCTCAGGACAGAGACTGTGCTTTGTCACCTGATGAGCTTAAAGATTTGTTTAAAGTTTTCCCTTACATACCGTGGGGGCCGGATGTGAATAACACAGTTTGTACAAATGAAAGAGGCTGGATAACTTACCAGGGATTTCTTTCCCAGTGGACGTGAGTACAGAGCTCACTTGTTTCCTTTAGAGTTACAGCCAGTTTAAAATTACAACGTGTCACATTCATCATTTTGTAAGTTGGTCAGGTCTTACAGAATGCTTCAATCATAACTGCCTGTGAGCAGGATTTATAGTGCTGCTGCTGTGTCTAAGATGAACTTTAGATGTTCTATCAATTTATCAGGAAGGTCCTGTTTGCTTTTGGATGATGTACAGGGAAACAGTAATAAGTCTTGTATCAAAACTGAACTAGATTTTAATACTTTTTTGATTAAGGGAATTGAAAACCTCATTGCTATTACACAATTCTTATACTTCCAGAATATGGGGAGAGCATATTTTACTTGACACTGAAGGCTTATTTGAGGTTTTTTGTTGTTGTTGTTGTTTGTTTTTAATTCACTTCTTAGGGTTTTTCTGCAATCTACTTACAGCATAGTTGACATTGTATCTGGGGCGCTAAGGACATCCTCTGGTCGCGCATGATGACATTATTACTTTAGCCTTGGTGAGACTAACTTTCTCAACACCAGGACATGTTCTTTTTTTCACATCACAAGAAGGGTTAACTAATTTCAAGTGCCTTTCAGTTATTTTTGCACCTTTTGCAAACCTTTTCAGATTTAATTATCAAGTCCTCAACCAGCCAATATTTGCAGTAAGCTTTTGTAACTTAGGAAGCAGATAATATAAAATATCCTTACCCTAGATTTTATCAGCATGTCACTGCTCATCTCAGTGTAGGTATAGGAATCCCACTCTACCCCTGCCAGTCTTGCATCCCCTCCCTCTCTTCTCTTCCTGAAGAATGGCAGTGTAGGGAAACCCATGGTTGGGCACATGGGAAATTAAAGAAGTCTGACAAATTATCTGGGTCTTGTGGTAAGATTATTTGAGCTGTTGGGGATTTTTTTTTCCTATAAATGTCCTTTAGAACTTTTCCCATTTCCACTTCCTCCCTTTCTTAGGCTCACGACCTACTTAGACGTCCAGCGATGCCTGGAGTATTTGGGCTATCTAGGCTATTCTATATTGACTGAGCAAGAGTCTCAAGCTTCAGCCATTACAGGTAAGTATCTGGATAGTATTCAGTTCATGCTAAGAAACATTTTTTAATATTCCGGGTTCATGTGTGAAAAGAGTGAAAATAAACTCCTCTTCATTAGTCTTTCATGTCTGTACTCTGTTCTCCTAGCCATTTGGTAATTTCTTTTGAGTTCAGAGTCTTGATTTTACTGTTTATCAGAAAAGAAAGAGTAAGGGCGCCTGGGTGGCTCAGTCAGTTAAGTGTCTGCCTTCAGCTCAGGTCAATCTCAGGGTCCTGGGTTCGAGCCCCGCATCGGGCTCCCTGCTCAGCGGGGGTCTGCTTCTCCCTTCATCCCTCACCCCTCTCTCACTCAAATAAATAAATAAAATCTTTAAAAAAAAAAAACTTAAAAAAAAAAGAAAAGAAAGAGTAGAGGTTTTACTTCTAGCTTACCCCTGAGGACACTCCACTGATGAACATCAGGGAGGGCTGTGGGCAGTAATTGTAATGTTCCAGTTTATCTTGTCTTTTAATTTTCTTTAGACATTAAAAACAATACCTATTAACGCATAAGCCCTATACTGAGCTGTGTGTCTCTTGGTTTTGTAACCATTTTCTACACTGGGAAATCTTTCCCAGATTTTATAATTCTTGCTGAGCAATGTATTCCACTTAAAGAATACCATAGGTATGGAAATAACAAATTAGGGAACGGATCGTTTCAAGATTTTCTTATATCCTAATTGGTGGGGGAAATGCCATATCTTACAGGAAGTCCCGGCACAAGAAAACCTTTTTTTTTTTAAAGATTTTATTTATTTGAGAGAGAACAAGAGAGAGCATGAGCATGGGGGAGAGGCAGAGGGAGAGGGAGAAGCAGACTCCCCACTGAGCAGGGAGCCGGCTAAGGGGCTCGATCTCAGGACCCTGGGATCATGACCTGAGCCTAAGGCAGACACTTAACGACTGAGCCACCCAGGCGCCCCGAAGACAATCAATCTTAAACTGACAGAGCAAGTACCCTTTAAAGTAGTTAACCAATTAGACAGTATTTAATTCAGCACCAAAGAGCAAGGAATGAATTCCTAGCTAGCATGAGGTTCTCTCACTCTCACAAAATATTGTGGACATCTTGCTATATCAATAAGTATAGTTTTATAGATTTTAATGTTAAATAGTGTGTCATCATATGGATGTGTGTAACTTATTGAACTATCCCATGATTGTTATGTGTGTTTTTTTATCATTTTCAGTTTTTGGCTACTATAAATAGTGCCTCTGGTGAGCTTCATTGTAGTTGAATTGTGGGGTACAGCTTAAAGAGGTCTCTTTACCTCTGGAAGAGAGGCACCATTGCTCTGGTGTTGGAGCATTCTTTTCTGTTCTGCCTCTTTACAGATTTACATTTGAAAGCCAGTGAACCCCAGAGTGCATATCCCTTCCCCATTTATAAGTTCAAGATGTGCAGATTGGAGATAGCATCTTTTAATTTGTAATTTGTTATGACAGTTACTTATCACAGAAGAAAATAGATGGGATATAATGTTGGCTATATTCATTGTAGTTTTCATTCATTTTTAGGATATAATTTTCCTTATGAAAATGTGCTACTTTTTTTATGCTGAAATAAATATCATTTGGTTACCAGAAGTTCACTTTACAGCCAGCTTTCAGAAATGCATCTTTTCCACCAAGTGAAGCCCTTCCGTATATTTAGTGCTTGGTTTCACATACAGCATGGCTGATGCACAGTATGTCTATTTATTCATCATACACTTCATAAAAATGAGAAATCACAGTGCCCTATTTTGCAGAAGATGAAATGGAGGCTCAGTGAGTCTAAATGGTACATAATTAGGTTTTTTTTTTCTTCTTAGTAACAAGAGATAAAAAGATAGACCTTCAGAAAAAACAGACTCAAAGAAATGTGTTCAGATGTAATGTAATTGGGATGAAAAACTGTGGGAAGAGTGGAGTTCTTCAGGCTCTTCTTGGAAGAAACTTAATGGTGAGAGTTCTCAGATAATAGAGCTTTATCCAGCAAATTTTTATTGTCACGAGCTTACATGATTTTTTCATAGCCACTAGCTCTTTTTACTGGAGCTCAGTGGCCTGTGTATATTAGTAAAGTACAACTTAAGGGTAACGATGATCCCGTTGAACTGCCTTTATCTTCGTTTCATTGGTGTTAGCTGTCATTTGTCTTTTTTTTCCTCAGCAGTATTTAGGTGGGGGTTAAACGAATGCATATGTGAAAGCACCTGATATGGTGCTTGGCATGAAGTAAATGTACAGTAAATATTTCAGATTGAACACTATATCTAATTCTGGCCCTGAGTAAAGAGATGGAGGTGTTTCCAGATGGGTCTCATGTCAGACCAAATTATAGCACAAGGAGAATTGCTAGCAGGTAGCTCTGTAGTACATTTTCAGTAATGTAGTTTCCTTCCTTTTCAGCTGCTCCTTTTACTTTATACAGAACAAATGCATCTTTTGTCTTAGACCTTAAGAACTAAGAAACATAAAATCAATGTCCCCTTTGTACTGATAAATAATACATAGTGTAGGGAGGAATGCCCTTTTATTTATAACACACCCACACATACATGCAGAGTGTGTGTTGATGAAAACTAGGTACTATAACTTCTTATTGTAAATATTGAGACTTTTGGTTGTTTTCAGAGGCAGAAGAAAATTCGTGATGATCATAAATCCTACTATGCGATCAACACTGTTTATGTATATGGACAAGAGAAATACTTGTTGGTAAGAAATTCTCTGGCATATAAACATTACTAATTATTAGGTATATTTTTATGTGACTCTGAAAACATAATTGCATTTAATATCGTGGCTATATGTAGAACTTGTGTGACTTTTTTTTCTTTCACCTGGTTTATTCACTGGAATTAATTTTAATTCCCCTGATGTGTATGGTGATCACATGGGTGTAGGTATAAGTAAAAGTTAATCTATTTGTGTGCTTAATTGTATATTATACATAATAGAAAGTAAAAATGACAAAAATATAGCTTCTCTTTCCTCTTTCTTCCACTTTTCTTTAAAAAATTTTTTTCCTCTACTGTTGACTAGAAATTAATATGAAAACCTTACCGCAGGTGCTTGGTAGTTTGTACTCTGAATCAAGTTTCATCTATTTAGCAAGAGAGGAGTATAGTTACCAAATGTGTTAGTCTAAAAAAATGGATGAAAGAAGTGCATGACTGAAAAGACACTATGAAATACAGTAGAAAGAGATTGTATGTTCTTCTTGGATCCAGTCAGTTTGGTTCAAACCCTCATCCACCATTGATTAGCTGTGTGAGTCAGGCAAGTGGCTTATTCTCTCTGAGCCTGACTTTCTTATTAAGTTAGCTCATATGAGGAGTTCCTAACAAATAATAGGTACCAGAAAAAGTTCATTTCCTTTCTTTTTGGAAATAGTTTATTCTGCCAGACAGATGATCCCATTGAATTTCATACAGTTTTTCCTTTTTATGATAAACATTTTTTATCAGTTTCTTATTAAACCTTGTTTATCTCCCATTCTTCTCCTGTAAGTATAGTTCTGCTTAACTGGGTACTCAGTAAATAGAGCTGACTGTGCATTTTCCTGTTTTTATTCTTATACTGTTCTTTGTAAATTGGTATCTTTCATGCCTCTGATTATCCATGCTGTAATAGTGTTTTATTTGGAATATATCGAGTCACTTCTGACCTTGTACTCCTCCTCAGCATAATTGTACTGTCTTACATAACTCAGTAGTACTGAATTTTACTCTTGCTGGCTCATTGTCATAGGGGGGCTATTTCTTTAGAGGCTTTATAATAAACATTAAAAAAGGGTAGGCAGTGAAGTAGAACAAAATGACCTTAGTGTAAAGAGTCTTTTTCTTTGTTTTGTTTTTTTAAGTTGGTGAGGAGAAAATGTGGTCTGGTAGAAAGAAAATAGACTTGAAATCATATTTGAGTTCAAATTTTGGTCTGATGACTTGCTAGATGTGTTATCTTAGGCAGTTGACTTAATCTTTTTAGGCTGTCATCTTATCTATGTAGAGAATGTGCGTAAAGGGCCTGCCTGGCACAGGTCAGTCACTAAATGTTTGCTTCTGTAAAACCTTAATCACAGTTTTCAGTCCTCAAAATCAGAAGCTACTTGTTTTTTTGGTTTTTTTGTTCTTTTTTACTATGTTATGTTAATCACCATACATTACATCATTAGTTTTTGATGTAGTGTTCTGTGATTCATTGTTTGTGCATAACACCCAGTGCTCCATGCAGAACGTGCCCTCTTTAACACCCATCACCAGGCTAACCCATCCTCCCACCCCCCTCC